TGACAAACAACAATGTGCAGCACCTAGATGTATGTGGGGTGGATCTGGATCTTTTCTATGAACTGTATATTCCAACTTTGAACGATGAAACTCAGACCTGAGACGTTCCTGTGGATAAAACACGACCTTCCCCAAGTTCGGAATACGCGCACAATGTTTCCAAGGCTGTTAGGTTTCTGACTGCTGGAACTGAGCCACTCTCAAGGCAAGCGGGTACTTCTTTCGGCAGTGGAACCGTTACAGTTTGCTTTCATGTGGGTTTGGTGTGAAGCAGGGAGGGTACATGCCGCTTATCCAATGCTGGTGGCAACTGAATTCCATAGCAGCATTTTTCTGTTGGGACACTGGTGGAGTTTCTCTTTTTCGGAGGTTCCTTTGCTCATACAGCCAATAGGAACTTTTCTCTGACAGTCCTTGTTTTGTCAGATGAGATTGAAAGTGGCTGACTGAGTCAAAAGTTACTGGGGGAGGAAGGGGTGGGGGCACAGTGACAATACGGCAGACACATCTAGACAGGTTGAGTACAGGAGCTTATTTCTGCAGGAGAGCAGACTTTAAAGAATAGATTGCCAAGCTATTTGCATATGAACAGATGTGTCTTCCTCCCTCATCGGCCACCTCTTGTCTGACTCATTGAGAAATTCCACTGCTAAGAAAAGATGGAGGTGGTTGATTTAATGATCTTGTGTCTCTGAGCCCTTTTTTCCTGTCAGTGCCTTCGCTGGCTGCATAATTCATAAATTGAAAGCACTCCCAAAGCAGCAGAGTTGATGTTTGGAATGAGAAATTCCCATGAGGAGGGTCTGTGCCTGACTTATAGCTGCAGAGAGCACTGAACTGAAGGCTGTGCAGTGAAGTTTGGCGACCAATATTAGAGGATTGTCAGGTGTGCCCCACTCTTGTTTCTTCTTTGAGGACCCAGGGCTCGGTGGCTTTCTCCAGGGTTTATGCTCAGTTCTGAGAGGTAGTAACTGTGGCGATCTGTTTTCTGCTCACTTGTAAACAGTAGTGCAGCAAGCATGAACAGAGTGTGCTGGAGAGATGGTATTGTTGTCTTCACTACCCCGTGTTTAAAATTAAGTCACTCCAGGCTCAGTATCAGTTGAGCGCTTACCAGATGTGCTGCCTTGTTAACTCTGGGGCCACATGTTGGCTTGTACCAAAGATTTCCATCAGATGGGACAAGGTAAACACCACCACCTTATATAGCCCTGGCAGCTGTCTTTGACCTGGGATGGGGATAAAAGCAGGCAAAAAACAAAAAAAAACAAAAGCAGAGATCTCTAAAGACTTTGTGCCTCTGACCTGGCTACATCTCAGCCGGGGGCCTTGATATAAAATGAGAATGGCGATGCTTCCATTTGGAAAGGGTCTGTAGCACTAATATAAAGTGTGGTCAAGTCTTTGGCCTCTGGATATTAGGGGCTTTCATTTGTAGTGTTTTCCCTGCCTCCTTGGAGTGGGCCTGAGACCAAATCTTTGAAACAGTTTACTTCCTCAAAGCTGTAGAAACCCGGTGTCTGCTTGGCCTTTCATCTGTTTTTGAAGTTTGCTCGGGTTTGTAAGGATTCCCAAAAGAGACTACAGAAAGAAATTATCTTCAGTTTGCAACCTCTGCCATGACAGTGGAAAATTCAGGGGCCTCTCCATCATAAGATGGGATTTGACCCTGTGCTGGTTGTGGCTGGGGTAGAGTTAATTTTGCTTGTAGTGGCTGGTATAGGTCTGTGTGCTGGAAACGGTGTTGATAAAGCAGGGATGTTTTAGTTACTGCTGAGCAGTGCTTGCACAGAGTCAAGGCCTTTTCTGGTCCTCACACCACCAGCAAGGAAGCTGGGGGCGCACAAGAAATTGGGAGGGGACGCAGCTGGGACAGCTTTTGCTTTACTTATTAAACTTTATCTCAACTCTTGAGTTTTCTCACTTTTACCCTTCTGATTCTCTCCGCCATCCTACCGGGGAGAGTGAGCGAGCGGCTGCGTGGTCCTTAGGTTAAACCACGACAAACCCTTAAGTCTTTGACCATTCGTTGCCCAATTACTGCGCAACTTTTTTCTTTCTGCCTCTTGCCAGAAGGATAACGGTCTATATTAATAAGCTTATCTGTGGTTTTCTTCCAGGATCCTTTTGGTGAAAAACGAGGCCACTTTGACTATCAGTCCCTATTAGTGCGTTTGCAAGGAATTCGGCAGAAGGTGCAAGAGAAACACCAGCAGGAGAATACAGAAATAGACTCTGAGAGCAGCTCCTCCGAGACAGAGACAGACACTCAAGGTTGCTCTAAAGCTTAGAGCTGCGTTACCAGTGGAGAGGCCAAGTTGTGGGGATGTTCTGTCTTCGCACTCTAGAGAACCCCTGACAGACTCGACAACCAAACCAATGCCAGAGCGGAGAAAACTGCAGGATATCTTCTGTCTCCTTTTACTGCTCTGGTGGATAATGCTGAACGAGAAGACTTCATGCTAGACAAAGCCAAGCTTGTGACAGGCTACTCTTAAAAGGTACTTACTATGCTAGAAAGCCGGAGCATGTGGCATCAGGTTATTTTTTGGAAACACCTACACTGGTTGGTTTTTTGGTTTTGGTTTTTTTTTTTTTTTTTTCCTCCATTTGATTAAAGAATGAGATCTAGACTGCGAATCCTCTTTACAGCTTTTCTGTTCCTAGACAGTGAGCCCTTCCCTGGGGCCGTGCTGAAGGTGGAGCTGTAGCTGGGGGAGCGCTTTGATGAGTCCAGGGTATGACAGGGCCCACGCACCGTGTGGCCAAGCGAAACCCTTTTGTGCGGGTTGGGAGAGACGGAGCCTCTCTGCTCTGTGGAGCCCATCTACCTGACATCTTTCTTCTAGACACTGTTCTAGACAGACCAAAGATAAAGAGCAGTGGTGGAATCTGGGCTCCTTTCTGAAAGCTTTACTCAAGCCCTGGGTGACTTCGTCCAGTGAGACTTCAGGCGTAAAGGGGCAGATGAAAAGAGGAAACTGCGAGAATCCATAAATCGAGCGCAGGTGTGTTCATCCTGGTGTTTTGGGGAAGGGAGGGTGAGAAAATCATTCATCAGAGATGGGGGGAGCACTTCACAATAAGTCTAGGTTGTGTATTACTTCTTTAAGGTATTGATTTGAATTTAGCATTCTAGGAATATTTTATTCTGGCTGCTCTGAACAGAGCTGTTTTGTTTCCTTAACTGAAGTACTCTTTGCTTTCCACCACTCTAAGTCAGCGTAGCATTTTACTTTCCTCCCTTCTTCCTCCTGCCGCCTCACTCCCTGCTGCCACCTTGACCCATCAGATCGAAACGCTAGAATAAGGGGCAATTCTAGCTGAGGAAGCCACCGTTTCTGGGTGGAGTTCTTCAGAGGTGTACGCCTTGTTACTGACAAATTCCTCTGCCAAACTTGGCCGAGCGCAAGCTAGCCGAGTGTCGTAAAGTTTAACACTTCAGTGCTTTGAACGTTTTAAACAGCAGCTTTTTACTGTGAGGGAAGGCCAACCTCTCGGAGAGGCGTCTGCTGGCTGCGAGTGCCATTACATCAAAGATGTATTTGGTGTAACTTGGGTGGAGGTGAAATACCCGGTTCTCCAGGTAAACAAGAATGGGGATGATTGATTGGAGCAGTATGATGTTTTGTTGATCAAGAGCTTAATCTACTCTTCTTTTTTTTTTTTTTTTTTTCATTATTTTATGGGAGCTTTGATAGAAAGCTAAGCACAAAGTTGCACATTGTCCTGGGCCCTCTCCCAGTTTCCTTAAACACCTTCCTACCAGCTCGGCCCTGTTTCAGTCTCCTGGTGGTGGTGGAAGAACTTCCAACACGGTCATCTTTGTTCTAAAAGAAAAAGCGCAGAAAGAGGGGCCAAAAGACCCCTGCCGTGCGCTGTACAGAAAGGCAATGCCCCATGCGTCACTGAATTATTTTCAGTCTCTGTGATTTATATCAACTCTTGCAGAACTCGGAAGCCTGCACACTGCTGCTTAAGCAGCTCTGAAAAGCTGAAAGGTGGAAACATTTCTGAATTAAGGTGCCGTTTAACAACTTGGGAACCTTTTTCTTTTTTCCCTTTAGCAAGCAAACTCCCCTGGGTCTGTCATTGGCTTGATTTAGACTTAAACCCTGTCTTCCCTCGAGGGAAAGCTGAACTTACACAGGACTCACTCAACGCATACACCAGATGAGAGTAAATAAAGCGGTGTCCACCTTGAAATGAGGTCTCGGGGAGGCAGCGGGGTCTCCCGAGAAGTCGTGAGCTGCGCGCTACTTTACCGCCTCTTTAATCCCATTGTAAATGTCACGTTGTTTTTCACCATTCAGTAGCATCGTGGGTAGAGCTGTGACTCTGCTGCCTTCCCGAGGCAGAGCTGGTTCTGAAATCTGTTTGTGATGCATGTGGCGTTAACCATCCACCGATACAACGAAACAAGAAAATGCCTTATTGTGGACACTATTCACATAACTAGCATGTGGCTGTAAAAGAGAAGTATTAGTTTTATAGCTCTAACGTTGTCTGTCCTACCATTTCTGAATGTTTCCATTTCAAAGTGACAATCCTCCAATGACTGCTCTAGGCAGAGATGTTTTAGCAACAGATTTTTAGACCTAATTGAGTTGAAAATATATGCACAAGAGTCACTCTAAGATACCTTGTTTATATACTATTGTACATAAGATTTTTTTTTTTTGTGCAATAAAGTTTGTTTTGGCAGAATCTAGACTGTGGTACTCCTTAGTGGAACAACAACTCATTCACAGAGCAGAGAGGACTACAGAACAGCTTCTCAATGTCACTGCTTGCTCCGAGATTCTTTAGCGGGAGTCACATTTGCATCCTTCGAGACTGCAGTTGTAGTAGCAACTTAGATAATTTTCCTCTTGCTGTGACAAGGTAATTAGTTGTCTGTAATGGTAAGTGGCATTTCCACCCACAACAGAAGAGAAAATTCAGAGGTGAGCAAGTATGAATTAGTCCTATTAAACTTTTCAAGCTAGGCACTTTTGTAAAAAGTTTTATTTCAAGTCCACTGTCCCTGTGTTTCAGGTGATACGCAAATAACCTCACAAGAAGAATTATATACAGGCACAGAGCACGTAGCAGTCAAGGTATTGCCTCCTTGGCTTCCTCCGGAGTGATTTCCTGAGAGTACAGCTCTGTAAAGAGAGCAGGCAGCCAGTACTGAGGTTCTCCTGCTGCCTGCATATCCAGCCAGGCCATTCCTTCCTTCAGCAAGTGTTCCTACACAAACAGAGCGGAAACTGTGAGTGAAACTTAACTAAACGCCTGAGAAGTCATTCACAACAGAGGCCTGACCCCATGTTTGTTCTAGGGTAAGGGAGGGCGTAGAACTTGGGCTACAAGAATTTTTACTCAACTTGACCGGGAGATATCCCGCCATGCCCGTCCTGCATGTTTAGGTAGGACCTGAGCTAACATGATTCAAGTATTAATGGAGATTAGCGAGGCCACAGGAATAGCTGCAGCTTCTGAGGTTCTGCTTTCCTCAATCTATGTTTACGCAGTGTGTACTCTGCCTTAGGTCTGCCGGCTGCTAGCTTAGAATCCCCTGTGCGGGCCGTGATAACGCATCCCCAGCAAAGTGCCTGCTGCGAGAGCAGTCGTTCTGCACTGTCAGTGAATTCCACTGTGTACAAGAGACCTTCATACGTACCAGCACTTGCTTGGCGCGTTCTGGCTCCCACTTCAGACTGGATCTGATCTCACTGACTGTTACATAGCCCTTTTTCTGAAATGAGAGGAAAAATACTGTGTGCTTATCGTCAACTTAAGTCCAT